TCATTAATTTGTCTTATTGCATATTTTTTATACTTCTTATACCGTTTTTTCGGAGAAAATACTTTCTTTAGATTTAATATTCGTATTTGTTTAATTTTGTGGTTGTTTTTTATTTAATTAAAATATTATATTCTTAAACGAAATATCATTTTTTAAAATGATGAAAATAAAACTTTTATTTCGTTCAAGGAAACCATGTCATTTGATGAAACAACACTATTGTTTTAAATAATATTTTTTAAAAGTTTCTCTCAAAATTTAGTAATTCGATTTGTTTAATTTGGATTTTCTTGGATTTTTTAATTTTATTTTGTTGGATTAATTATTATAACATTTTGTTGAAAATGTAAAAGTAATTATCACTGGTTCACTACATTACATCAATATTCATTGCATATCGAATGTTGCATTGTTTCAATATCTATCAACAAATTATCCAATAAATAGCAAGTAAAAATTATATAACTATTATTTTGTTTTTGCTAGGTATGTTATAATATACTGTGAACACTATAAGGATACATTATATAAACATAAATTGTAAGAACATCGTTGGAGTCATCAGTGTCACCGCGTGCGCGCTCGATCGTCAGGTTAAGCAACAGTTTAATGAGGTCAAGATATGGATGGGGTGGCCAGCGGTATATCGCTTGGGATCGAAATTATCCTCGGATTATTTCATGATCCTCGCAGGAGGATTCATGAAAGTTTGGAATGTGTTAACAACCTTCGATATCTAGTAGTTTATGAGACATGAGAAAATTAGGAATATAAGTATATTTTTGTAAACATTATGATTTTCGCATTTTTCACCTTTGCATAATAATTCTCAGTATTTGATTACTATCAATATTTAACAGTGATTTTATTATCAGTATTCACCAGAAATTAAGTACTGGTCAAAAAATTACTGAATTACTGGTAATATTTAATCATTAATAATTTGTCAGTATTTCTTAGTATGATATTTCTATAAGGGAATGCTCTGTGTTTGGTGGGATCAAAAGGATGTTGTTTATTATGAACTTCTCAAATCTGATGAAACGATTAATGCTGCTCGCTACCGAGAACAAATGATCAATTTAAACCATGCATTG